AAATGGGTTTAAAAGTTTAAATAAAATTTTTTATTCTTCTGGGTGTTGTTCAGCAACATCCCAGCATTAATCTACAATGTTTAAAGTCACTGAAAATTATTAAAATTGAAAAGAATTTAACTTAAATTTCTTTTTATGACAATTTGGATCTTCTGCTGATATGTAGGTGCCGGTTTCAATTTAATTTATACAGTTGAACGTCCCTTATCCGAAATCTTCTATCTTGTCCTCTACTTAGGAGGAGACTTCAGGGTGTAAGTGTAAAAAATTATAAGCAATAGCAGAAATATTATTATTTTTCAAATATCTTGTAAATTAATTTGTTCTTAATTTTCTAGAGCAAATTATAATGAGTTGACTGCGTGACTTTCGATAAAAGTAAGGCAAAGAATGGAATCGTTTTTCGTGAGAGCTGAGAACTCTCTGTGTATAATAATAAATAAATCTTTTTTAAATGAATTAAAAAAAAATTGTCTTGATGTAGCACGATTCATTGGATTGTTGAATGGAAATAATACGTGGGAAAGAGATCGAAAGTTGTTTTACTCAAGTTGGGGCTTCCCAGGGTGAAAGGCCTCGGTATAGTTCCCTTTTTTTACACGAAATTATCTTCATTATTCTACATACTTTGTTGAATATTTTCGATAATTTTGTTATTTATTATTTTGGTAATAATTCGGAAGTTTTTTTTTTCTAGTAACGCACTGATTCGTTTTAGTAAGAACGGAATTGCTGTAGTCATCAGCAGGTGGCCGATTCGTCTTCTTTTTTTTCTCTCGCTAGCGGTCAACTTCGTAGCAAGTGTATAGTGGTTCGAAAAACGAGAGAAATTATTGTGTTCTGTCATATTAGATCCGCCATTTTGTTTTTTGAAAATATTGTCAGACCCTGGAATAGTTTTTTAAAAAATAGTTAATAGTTAGCTTATCAATAGTTTTTTTTTAATATTTGATTACTTTTGGCCACTTTTGATATTTAGAACCACTGTGCGTTGGATTGATTAAAGAAACTTCTGCTTATTTTCTTCTTTAACAAAGCATACTCAGAATGTAGAAAAGTTATTAAAAAACGAAAGTAGGAAAGATTTAGAAGATGAATAAATTATTCATGATTAATTCCAGTTTTTTCGCGGTTAATTCTCATTAATTTTGTTAGCATATCACGATTTCGATCATAATCTAAATAAGAAGTATTATACGATTTGCTTTTGTTTTCTATGTAAGTATATTTATATGTATTTAAGGTATAGGATCGAAGTGTGTCATCGTTATAAAGGTCGCCTCCCACACCTGCTCTTCTTGTATATATACAACATTATACTTATTTACCACAAATTCCACGAGAGACAATCCAAAAAGCCATTCTAATTAAATCGCGATTTCTAATAATTATTATATTTCTCAACTTCTTTATTTAACATTATTTTCATATTAAAAAAATATATATTTGTTTCCTCTGTAGTTTAAAACAAAAACATTACGTAATTTTAGATAAAAGAATGCAATGCTTTGTTCAAGAATTTCACTTTTAATTTATAAGCAATTTGTAATTTTTGTAATTTTTGTAACTACTGTGTATCATCTTGCTCAAGATTATTTATCATCATAGATTTATGATCTTAATTTTTTAAAATAATTTTTTTTAAATGTTTTAAATATTTTTTAACCCTCTGCTGATGCTAATGACTGTTATCGTCAAAAATCGTCATTTTTGACGATAACGGTCATTAGCATCAGCAGAGGGTTAACAAATGGTGGGGGTTATGGAAAATAGAGTGGGGGGAAAAGTTAACATCAACAGAGGGTTAAATATATTTTCTAAAATTAATTTTCTAAACAGTATTATTTAAATAGTTTTTTTTTTAAACAATAATAACAGTTGAGGAAAGAAAAATTCGAATGATTATGTAAAGTCTTCAGTTACAAATTGCTGATAATTTTTTCATAAACGTTTATAAAAAGCACAATCGCAAATTTTCAGTGAATGACGTCACTGTTGTATATTACAAGTTGAGGTGTGCATCGCGCACGTGTATATTACGCTGCTATATAGACTTGGAGAGTAAAGATCAATGGCCACAATCACTTCTTCCTTATTCACCTTTTTCCTGGCATTTAAATTCTACATTGTATTCCTTTAAATACCATAACATTCAATTATTATTATTATTATTATTATTATTATTATTATTATCGTTATTACTATTATTTTTTTTTTATTATCCTGATTATGTAAGAAAATATTTATCATTAAAATTATACTTGATAGGGAATTAGTATAAACCTTATTATGCTTATCATAGATTTTTAATCAAATTCTTTAAAACGATTAAATTATTTTCAAAAAATATTCGAAATTCTATTTTCAATATCTAGTATTCTCATACAATTTCGCAAAAGAATTTAATTATTTTCAAAAAAAAAAATTGATAAAATTCATCCAAAATTCAATTATTTTCACAAATAAAGTTTTCTACAAGAATTCAATTATTTAAAATTAAATTTTTATAATATTTATTATATTTCGAAAAAAATAAGGTATTTGAAACAATATTTATAAAATTCTAATGAAAAATTCAATTATTTTTAAAAGAAAGAAAATTTTTCAGAGAAATTGAATTCTTTTTAAACATTTTAATAACATTTTTCGCAATAATTCAATTATTTTCACATTATAAAATTTTTCTCATAAATTCAATTATTTTTGAGAATTTTAATAAAATTCGAAGCAAGAATTCAATTATTTGAATAAATAATAAAATTCATCGCAGGATTTCAATTATTTTTAATAAAATTATTGCTCAAAAAATGTAATTATTCTTAAAAGTTTAATTTCAATTCCTCGAAAAAAACAATTATTTAAAAAAATGATTTTTTTTAAAATTCTTTGAAAGAATTCAATTATTTTCAAATAATTTAAAAAAATTGTTCGAAAGAAATCAATTATTTTAAACAAAATTTTAATTAATTTTTTTTTTGAAATTATTCAATTATTCTTTTAGATTTTTAATTAAATTCTTTTCAAGAATTCAATTACTTACATAAATAATTCTTCGAAAGAATTCAATTGTTAAAGATAAATAACAAAATTATTCCCGAAAATTCAATTATATTTTGAGGGTTTTTAATAAAATTCTTCGCAAAATTTAATCATTTTCATAAATAACAACATTTATCACAAGAATTAAATTATTTTTAAAAGTAATAAATTTCTTCTTCGAAATTCAATTATTTTCAAAAGTTGTAATAAAATTCTTCGGAATTCAATTATTTTCAATAGTTTTAATGAAATTCTTGGAAATTCAATTATTTTTAAAAGTTCAATAAAATTCATGTAAAAATTTTAATAAAATTCTTGGCACAATTTCAACTATTTTTAGAAATTATAATAAAATTCTTGGCAAAATATCAACTACTTTCAAGAATTGTAATAAAATTCTGTGCAAAATTTCACATATTTTCAAAAATTTTTCTCAATTCAATAATTTAGAATATCTACTATTTTAATAAAATTTTTCACAGGAATTCAATTATTTTTGAAAATTTTAACTATATTCTTTGCAAATATTTAATTATTTTCATAAATATTGAAATTCAATGAAGGATTTCAATTATTTTTAATACAATTTTTACAGTAATTAATCAAAAAATGCTAATTATTCTTAAAAATTTAATTTCAATTCCTCGAAAAGATCAATTGTTTTAAAAAATGTTTTTTTAAAATTCTTTGGAAGAATTCAATTATTTACAAAAATATTAGAATTCTTCATAGGAATTCAATTATTTTTAAATATTTTAATAAAATAATGTTCGAAAGAAATCAATTATTTTAAATACAATTGTAATTAAATTTTTCTGAAATTATTCAATTATTCTTTTAGATTTTAACAAAATTCTCCCCAAGAATTCAATTATTTTCATAAATAATAATTCTTCGAAAGAATTCAATTATTAATGATAAATAACAAAATTTTTCCCGAAAATTCAATTATTTTGAGGCATTTTAATAAAGTTCTTTGCAAAATTCAATTATTTGCATAAATAAAAATATTTATAACAAGAATTCAATTATTTTTAAAAGTAATCAATTTTTTCCTGGAAATTCAATTATTTAAAAAAATTCTAATAAAATCGTTTGCAAGAATTCAATTATTTTCATAAATAATAAAATACTCTTTAGGATTTCAATTATTATTTTAAAAAAAAAAAAAATTTAGTAAAATGCCACACAGACATTCAATTATTCTCGAAAATTTTATTAGAATTCTTTGTAAAATTTAATTATTTTTAAAAACTTTTCGCAATTTAATATTTTTTAATATCTACTATTTTCATAAAATTTCCAAACAGAATTCAATTATTTCAAAAAAATTTTTGTAAAAATCTTCCTATGAATTCAATTCTTTTCGCATGAATAGTAAAAATTGTCTCAGGAGTTGAATTATTTAAATTAGAATTTGCATTTAAAATTAGTTGAAATAAATAAATTATTTAGAAATTTTTGTAAAATTCTTGTCAAGAATTAAATTATTGAAAAATAAAAAAACTATTCTGGGAAAATTCAAATTAAATTATTTTTATAAATATTTAAATTCTTTCAAGAATAATAAAATTCGTTGCAGGAATTAAATTTATTAGCATCAGGATATGAAAGAAGTAAATATTTTTGATGAAAATTAGGAAAATGTCAGGGAAATAAAAAATATGGAATGGAATTTTTGTCCGTTTTGCGAAGTGTCTAAAATGAGTTTTTTTGGTCGTCAAGTTTAATTTTTTCGATAGCTACTTTTTTACTACTTTTTTTAGTTTTTTTTACTTTTTTTTAGTTTTTTTACTTTTTGCCACTTTTTTAAAATTAATTATCGAGTGCAAAGTCTTTGAAGAATATCAATAAAGTGCAAAAGAAGTTCGAAAGATGTACTCTTAGCCGATTAATCGAAATAATAATTGAATTAAGAAAATGGATGTTTTTTTTAAAGCAATTTTCATTTTCTTTTACAGAAATAAGGCGATCGCGGATTATTTAAGTGCGAATGGTTATCAAGATGCATTGGAGGCATTCAAGAAGGAAGCCGACATGCCCGGAGAAGTGGAAAGAAAATACGGTGGTCTTCTTGAAAAAAAGTGGACCTCCGTCATTAGACTACAAAAGAAGGTGGAGTTTTTTTTCTTCAACATTGTTTGAAAAATTATCATTTCTATTACTCCAATTTTGTTAAATCTGAAATTATGGTTATGAAATAAAATTTCTTTTTTTGCCATCTTAAGGTAATGGAATTAGAGTCGAAACTCTCAGAGGCTGAGAAGGAATTCATTGAAGGGGCGCCAACCCGTGGCAAAAGATCCTCATCCGAATGGATTCCAAGGCCGCCGGAAAAATTCTGCCTCACTGGGCATAGAGCGACAATTAATCGAGTCATCTTTCATCCAGTTTTCAGCCTGATTGTCTCGGCGAGCGAAGACGCAACAATTAAGGTATTTTTTTCATCCGGCAGCTTGGCGAGAGATTAAATATTCTATTAAATATTAATAAAATATTCTATTAAATATTCGATAATTTATTAAATGAACTTGTTTTTTAATATTTTGAAAAGGTTTGGGACTTTGAGAGCGGTGAATTCGAGAGAACATTGAAAGGACACACGGACAGTGTACAGGACATTGCTTTCGACACAAATGGTAAATTACTCGTCTCATGTAGTTCCGATATGTCAATAAAACTCTGGGACTTTCATCAGTCATTCTCTTGTATTAAGACAATGCACGGTCACGATCATAATGTCACGTCCGTGACATTTGTGCCACAGGGCGATTTTCTTGTGAGCGCATCGCGGGACAAGACAATTAAAATTTGGGAGGTTGCAACGGGTTATTGCGTCAAGACACTAACCGGTCACAGGGAATGGGTGCGAATGGCACGAATCAGTCCTTGCGGTGAACTCATTGCAAGTTGCTCCAACGATCAGACTATTAGGATTTGGTCCGTTGCCACCAAGGAGACAAAGGTACTTTCTCTAGATTCACTTCTTTTTCAAAGTTGCCACAGGTCAGGAAATTCAGGGAAAATTCAGAAAAAGTAGAATTATTACTTAAATTATTTAATGAATAATTTTACTTAACTATTTCGAAATTAATTCAATTTTACGAGTTGTGTTTATAATTTTTATAGACGAACTTCAAAAGTTTTTAATTTGAAATTTTAGAAAATTTCAACTTTCAATGTATTTAATTAGAAAAAAGAAATTAGATTTTTGAAAAATTTTAATAATTCAAATTCTTTAGATAAATTAGTTACATATTTTTAATATATATTTAATTAATTATTGAATTCAATTATTTTTAAAAGTAATAAAAATCTTCGCAGAAATTCAATTCTGATGAACAAATTTTTTTAAAAATTCTCGTCAAAATTTTAATTATTTTCAAGAATTTTAATAAAATTAATAAAATTCTTGGCAAAATTTCAATTCTTTTTTCTAGAATTAAATTAAATAATAAATTACTTCATAAGAATTAAATTATTTTCATAAATAAAATAAAATTCATCGCAGGATTTCAATTAATTTAATAAAATTTCAGAGGAAATTTCTCGAAAAAATGAATTAATTAAAAAAAAGTGTTTTTTTTTTTAAATTCTTTAGAAGAATTAACTTATTTGCAAAAATATTAGAATTTTTCATAGGAATTCAATTATTTTCAAATATTTTAATAAAATTCTTGGCAAAATTTAAATTATTTTCAAAAATTTTAATCAAAATTCACGTCAAAATTTAAATTATCTTTATAAATAATAAAATTCTTCTTTGAAATTCAATTATTTTCAAAAATTTTAATAAAATTCTTAGCATAACTTTAATTATTTTTTAAAAATTATACTAAAAATTCTCGTCAAAATTTCAATTATTTTTATAAATAATAAAATTCTTCTTCAAAATTCAATTATTTTCAAAGTTTTAATAAAATTCTTGGCAAAATTTCAATTTTTTTCAAAAATTTTAATAAAATACTTGACACAATTTCAATTATTTTTATAAATATAATAAAATTCTTCTTCAAAATTCAATTATTTTCAAAGTTTTAATAAAATTCTTGGCAAAATTTCAATTATTTCCAAAAATTTTAATAAAATTCTTGTCAAAATTCTAATTATTTTTATAAATAATAAAATTCTTGTCAAAATTTCAATTATTTTTATAAATAATAAAATTCTTGTCAAAATTTCAATTATTTTTATAAATAATAAAATTTTTCTTCAAAATTTCAATTATTTTAATAAATAATAAAATTCTTCTTCAAAATTCAATTATTTTCAAAAATTTTAATAAAATTCTCATCAAAATTTCAATTATCTTTATAAATAATAAAATTCTTCTTTGAAATTTAATTTTTTTTTGTAAAGTTAGGTATAATAAAATTCCTGGCAAAATTTCAATTATTTTTAAAAATTTTCCACAATTCTATGGTTTTCAATATCTACTATTTTAATAAAATTTCCCGAAAGAATTCAATTGTTTAAAAAAAAAATTTAATTTACGCAAACATTTACTTATTTTCATATAAATAATAAAAATTTCACAGGAAGTGAATTATTTACAATTTTTTAAAGAATTTTTTTGCAATAATTCAATTATTTTCATGAATAATAAAAATCTTTTAAAAAATTCAATTATTTTCATGAATAATAAAAAAATAAACACAGAATTTTAATTATTTTCTAAAATTTTAATAAACGCTTGAAAATAATTCAATAATTTAAAAAAATTATCATTAAATGCTGAACAAGAATTTAACTATTTTCATAAATAATGAAATTATTCGCAAGAATTCAAATTTTTTAAAAATTATTAAAAATCTGATCGTAGAAATTCAATTATTGTCATAAATAATTGAATTTTGCTTAGAAATTCACTTATTTTCAATGAATTTGATAAAATCCATTGCAAGAATTCAATTATTTTAAGTAATAATAAAATCCTATTCAGAAGTTCAATTCTTTTAATAATTATTAATACAATATGAGAATAATTGAATTTCTTCGAAGAATTTTATTATTTATGAAAATAATTCAATTCTCGTGAAGAATTTTATTATTTATAAAAAATTATTTTATTTCTTGTCATGATTTTTACTAATTAGAAAAATAATTGAATTGTTTTGAACGGATTTATTAAAATTTTAGAAAATAATTGGACTCTTTAGAAAAATTTTATTAAAAATCAAAAAAAAAATTTGAATTGTTTCAAAGGATTATTGATATTTAAGAAAATAATTTAATTTTTTTGGAAAAATATTATTAAAAATTGAATCTTTCATGACTTTTTAGTAAAATTTGAAATAATTGAATTTTTTCAAAGTATTTTATTATGTATTTATAAAAATAATTTAATTGTTTCGAAGAATTTATTACAATTTTAGAAAATAATTGAATTCGTTTGAAAAATTTCACAACGAATTAAGAAAAAACTTGAATTCTTTCATAAAATTGAAAATTTCACGAAATTTGTTGAAAATAATTGAATTTTGAAAAAGGTTTCTAATTAAAATCTTTTAGAAACGTGAATTTTTCATATTTTTTACAAAGAAATTCTTTAAGTAGAATTAATTTTTTTTAAACAAGTTTAATTGCATTTTTTTCAATTATTTCAAGTTTTTATTTTCAAATAAATATTTAATTAAAGAATTTACGATTAATAGAAAGTTTTACTTAAAAAATTGAATTGTAAAGAAATAGATTTGAAAATTTTCAAAGAACTTTTTCAAAAGTTATAAAAAATAATTGATTTAGAGAAGAATTTTAGTTAAAAATTCTTGTAAATAATAATTGAATTGTAAATTCGTAAATAAATGTAATAGAATATTTTTTGAGTATCTAACAATTTTTAGAGTGAATCAGAATTTTCTTTAGGGTCAGGAAAAAAGTGAAAATTTTGTCTGGAAATCAGGGAAAAATAAAATTAAATGTTTGTGGCAACCCTGTTTTTGCAACTCGAAATACTTTATTATATAATATAGATTTTATTGTGTATAGTGAGTTTGTTGTTAAAATTTGTTAAAATTTGCAGGCCGAACTCAGGGATCATGATCACGTGGTTGAGTGTATCGCCTGGGCTCCAGAATGCGCGCGAGCGCCAATAAACGCGGCCGCTGGCGCTGATAACAAGGGTGCACACGAGGGACCTTTCCTCGCATCGGGTTCACGTGACAAAACAATTCGCATTTGGGATGTTGGCGCTGGCGTTTGTCTATTCACGTTAATTGGCCACGACAATTGGGTGCGCAGCATTGTCTTTCATCCCGGTGGGAAATTCATTGTCAGTGCATCCGACGATAAGACGTTACGAGTTTGGGACATTCGCAATAAACGCGCCATGAAGACACTCGAGGCGCACGTTCACTTCTGCACTTCTGTCGGTAAGGAAAAAATTTTAAATTTCTTAAACAATTATTTCTTTTCTATAATATGGGAGAATTATTTATTTATTCTTTTTGTCTTGAGGAAATTTGAACGATTATGACATCACACTTCATGCAAAGAATGAAACTTTCTTTTTTAAATTTTTGACACTAAAAACTACTTTTTTCTTTTTTTTTCATAAATTTTCACTATTTTAAATCCGCTAATAGTTGAAATAAAAAAAATTATTCTCGAAAACTCGCAAAAATCTTAATTAAATTCTACTTAGAAAGAGAATCTTTCTCGAGAATTCAATTGTTTTCAGAAATAATAAAATTCTTCGCTAAAATTAAAATATTTTCAATATCTACAGGGTTGCCACGCAACCTGGAAACCTGGAAAACCTGGAAATGTCAGGGAATCTTATAAACCTTGAAAAAACTTGGAAAAGTTGGGGAATTTTGATCGAAATCCTGGAAAATTGTTATTTTCTAAAGTTTATTCTTGAAATATAATTTTACATAAATATTTAAAAAATTAATTAAATTTTAAAAAAGTAGTGTTTACAAATTTCATAAGTACAGATGAATTTCAAAAGATTTTGATTTGAAATTTTGTAAAATTTCAATTTTCTATGAATTTAACTAGAAATCGTCTTAAAGAACGTAAATTTTTGAGAAATTTTAATTATTCCCATTCTTCTGAAATTAGTTAAATTTTTTAATATATATTTTTAATTGATTATTAAAAATAATGGATTTATAGAAGAATTTTAATTAAAAACACTAAAAGAAATTGAATTTTGAAGCAATTACAAATTATTGCAGAAATTCAATTATTTTCAAAAGTAGTAAAATTCTTCTTCGAAATTCAATTATTTCCAATAACAATTTTAATAAAATTCATGGCAAAATTCCAATTATTTTCAAAAACTTTTCTCAATTCAATGATTTGAGTTTAAAATAATAAAAATGAAAAATAAACTAAAGAAGGAGGTTCTAATTCTGTCTTCTTTTTTTCCCCACAGATTTTCACAGAAGTCATCCGTACGTTGTCACCGGTAGTGTGGACCAGACGATAAAAATTTGGGAGTGTCGCTAGTCACCGGATTTTCGAGTAAATTAATCGAAAGCCCCCCGCCCTCCTCCCTTTCCCCCCATTATTTCTTTACCCCCACCCCAAAAAATACATAAAACACACATAAATTTTTCTTTTTTTCCAAATAAATTCGCAATACGCGTAATTTTTTATGGAGAGACACGCGCGTCTTTTTGTTTTATTTTTTTTTCTCCAAATATTGAAGAAAAGAAAAATGAAAAAAGAAAAAAAATAACAACAACAACAATTTACAAGAAGTAAAAATAAATAAACGGCCGAACGTGAGTACAGCTATTACAAAAAAAAGCTATCGTACATATAAAAATATATTATATATACATAATTATTATAATTATTATACACACCTATTACACGTACGGTTTAAGAGCTCTTTAATTAATTTATAATAAAGTATAATTAGTAATTAAAATTATACATATAAAAGTGCATAGAGAATGAGAGAGAGAGAGAGAGAGAGAAAAGTGTGATTGCGAGAAATGAGAGAGAAAGAGGGAAAAGAAAGTAACCGACAAAATAAAAATAATTTATCATCTCACGATAAATTATTATACACAATTTTTTTTTTTTTTTTTTTTTTTGACTACGAAACTACAATGAAAAACAAAAGAATAAACAACAACAAAATTTCACGTTTGCCTTTCGCCAAGACGTTTTTCTCTCTTTATTTCGTATATTGTTTTATCAATTTTTTTTCTCTACTTTTCATACTCTTTTTAATTTTTTTTCTCCCCCAAAATTGTAAATAAATATATATAATTATAAATATATAATAATAATAATAATACTAATAATAATAATAATAATAATTAAAAAAAAATGAAAAGAAACAAAAACGGAAATGATTTTTTTGAAATTTTTCACCGTTTTTTGAAAAAAGACAAAAAAAATACGAAAACAAGAAAAAAAAATAAAATAAGTAAAATAAACATAAAAAAAAATTAAAACGTTCTTGGCGAATTGAAATTTAAAAAAAAATAATAAAATTGAAAAATTTATTATCGTAAAGGCGAGAGTTTCTGAGTGAATAAATAAATAAATAAATAAATAAATACTTAATTAAAAACAAAAATGCGATATGGCAATTTAATCACTACGGTGCAATGATTTTTTTTAAAACTCCCAAAAAGAGATAGAAAAAAAAGAACAAACCAAAAACTGCAATTTTGTATCCGTATCGAATATTTCCCCCTTATACTCGCGCTGAAAAAGAGGAATTTTTCGATAAATACGAGAATAAAAAAACTTATTAACTGATTAAAATTAATTATTAATTAATTATTCGAATTCTCAATTATAAAAAGTTTTGATTGACTTTTGCACTTTTTAAAATTCTTAAATGTTTGCTAAAGAAAAAAAAACAATTAAAATTAATTGCAAAAATTAGTTAAATATTTAATTGAACAATTAGCTATGCAACTAATTAAGTTATTTAACGAATTAATTAAACAATTGGCTAAGCAATTAACTGAGTAATTATGCGAATTAGTTGAACAATAATTTAATTGAATAATTAAATTAATTGAATAATTAAGTTAATTGAATAATTAAATTAATTAAACAATTAATTAATTGAATAATTTAATTAATTGGAAAATTAAACAATTGTTCAATTGAATAGTTAATTAAGCAAATAATTAAACAATTAATTGAGCAAATAATTGAAAAAGAAATTAATTAATTAGTTAATTAAATAATTAATTGAGAAATTAAGAAATTTATTGTTTAATTAAGTACTTAACTAAATAAATATTCAAGCAATCAAATAAATAAAGAAATAATTGATGAATTAAAAAAATAATAAACAATTTTCTGTTGAATTAATTGAATAATTAATTTAGCAATTAATTCATCAATTAGTTTTGCAATTAATTGGAAAGTAAGCAATTTATTCAACAATTTGCAGTGGAATTAATTGAAAAAATTATCAATTAATTGATTAATTAAGCACAAAATTGAATAATCAATCAATTAATTGATTAATTCAATACTTAATTGAATAGTTAATCAATTAATTGAATAATTAAGTAAATAATTGATTAATTTATCAAGTAATTGACCTTTTTGTCATTCATTTAATTGAATAATAAATTAATTAAGTAATTAATTAATTGAGTAATTAACTAATTGCTTGAACAATTAATTAATTAATTAATTGAATAATTAATTAATTATTCAATTAAGTAATTAAATACTTAGTTGTTTAATAATTAATTAAATAATTAATTAAACAATGATACGATTAATTAAACGACTGATTGAATAATTAATTCTTAATTAATGAATAATTTTATAATCAATCACTTAATAATAAATTTTCAATTAGTTTTTAACTTTTTGTAATTTTCGAGTTTCATGCGAATTTATCCATCTTTTTTTCGTTTTTTTTTTTTGTATTTTGTTTTTTGTTTTTCTTTTCCTGAGAATTTGATTTTAATTTAGAAAAAAAATTAAAAACACTTTTTAGATTCTCTTCACATACAGAATAATAATTTCTTGTCTTGAAGAAAAAAAAATTGGAGAACTAGTGGTTTTTTTGTTTTAAAATGAAAAAAAAAATATGTTTCTTTGGATTTAATTTAAAAAACAATAGTGTATAGTAAAACATTTATTTGAAGAGTAAAAGAGTTTTTTTTAATTATTATCCTTTGTGTACCTATTTATTTTAATTTTAATTTTAATTATTATTATTATTATTAAAATTATTATTATTATTATTATTTCTATTATTAATGGGAAATTAATTAAATTTTATTGGATAATTGTGTAAATTTTTTTGAAATTAATTTTTGTACATTAAAATTTTGTTTTAATTTTAGTTGGAAAAGAAAGTTAGGGAATATATATATATAGAAAAAGAACAGAAGCTTTCTTTGGAATTTTCATGGTTTCATTAAAAAAATATCTACGACACGAATGTCGATGAGAAATGAAAGAGGAATAAATGAAAATTCTAAAGGGTCAAAAATTTGTAGATAATTTAGTTAAAGTAATTTTTTTCTTAATTTTTTTTTTATTTTTCTTTATTTGTCTTTATTTGTTTCTTTCTGATTTTTAATTTCTTGTTTCCATTTTATTTTCTTATTTTTCTTTTATCTTCTTTTCTATTTTTCCCTTTATTTCCCTTTTTATTTTCTTTTACATTCAATCCTTTTTGTTTGTTTTTTTCTTTATTTTTCTTAAATTCTTGTCAATTTTTTTCAATTTCCCTAAATTTTTTTCATTTTCTCTCACGTGTTTTCCATTTATTTCCACTTTTTTTTAATTTGCAAAAATATTAAACTCACGTTTTTTTATTTATTTTTTTTTCAATTTTTTTTTATTTTCAATAAAAATTGTTTTTTATTTTTGTTTTTTTTTCTAAAATAATTATATTTTTTCTTTATTAAAAAAATATTTCTCCATTTCTTTAATACATTTTTTACCCCCCCCCCCCCCTCTCCCCCCGTCTCTTGACATTAATTTTAAAAATTTTCTCCATTTATCAAAAATAATTTTCTTTTGTTCCTTTTGCTTGAAAAAAAAATGTGTTTTCCATTAAATTTTTTCCATGATTTCCTTATTACTTTCTTGTGTTCATTTTAATTTTTATTTTGTCTTGTGAATTCGCACGAAAACACCACGAATTACCGAGTCATTCTGTATATATCGAAAACACACTTGTTTTGTAAATACACGATAAAAAAAAGTATATATATATTTGTAGACGAAACGAAGTTGCAGAAAATGTTTCTGATTTTTACATTGTATTTTTTTTTTCATTTACAAGAAGCAATTTTTTTCTATTTACAAAAATTGAAATTTTTTTTTCATTCAATTTTTGCATTTTCAAATGATTTATTTGTAATTATTTTTTTTAATTTATTTAAATTAAAGATTTAATCAAAGTTTTTTTTCGACAATTTATGATGAATATTAAAATAAATAAATTAATTAATAGTTTATTTATTAATAATTAGGTAACTGTTAATTATTTATTATTAATTAAACAAATTTAATTAATTAATTAATAATAAATAATTAATAGTTTATTATTAATTAATTAATAATAAATAATTAATAGTTTATTATTAATTAATTAATAATAAATAATTAATAGTTTATTATTAATTAATTAACAGACGATTGTTAATTAATATTTATTCATCAATAGTCGATTGTTAATTAATATTTATTAATTAACAGATGATTGTTAATTAATATTAATTAATGATTAGGTACTTATTAATTAATAAATATTAATTAATTATTAATTGTTTTTTAATAAATAATAATTAATTTAACATTAGGTTATTGGATTATTATTTTAATTTAGTAAAAAATTACTTTTAATCGATTATGAAATTTTTATTCAGTAATAAATTATCATGTTGTATAATAAAAATGAATTATTGATGGGAAAAAAATTTAATTTTTCACAAAATAGACTGAATTGAGTCTTGAAATTAAGAAAAAAAAACCTAAAGAAAAAAAAAACAATATTAATATTGTAGCTGACTAGCGATCGCAAAAAATAAAATCTGTATTCCGCTGCAACTGTAATCGTAAAAATTAAAAAAAAAAATTTGTTAAATGTATCGCGTAATCATTATGCAAAAGTGTAGTGCATGTAGCTTTTTTCGAATGGGGTCTGAGACGTAAGGTTTTAGGTACACACAATTCTTAATTAGCGATAGACAATTAATTCTAGTGTGTAGTGAATGAGATAAAAAAAAACAAAAAAAAAAACAAAAAACAAAAATAATAAGTGAACAAGGACGCAACACTTGAATTTAAAATAAAAAAAAATTATGGGCAATATTCATCATTATTATAAAAATCATGAAAATGAAAATTTCTCAATTTTCAAAAATAAAATTAAATCAAAAGAAAAAAAAAAATTTTTTTTAATTTATTTCTATTTAATTTATTATTTATTAACAATTATGGTAATTTATTTAAAATGGTTTTTCTAAAAAAATTAAGAGAAATTACAAAAAAAATTCTGTATTTTCTAAAGAGAAATAAAAGAGTAAGGAATAAAAATTAAAAACACTTTTTAAAAATTTTTTTTTCATTTTTTTAAAAAAATTTTTCTAAAAAAAAAATAAAATTAATGAAATTTTTTTTATTCAAGAGAAATTTTAATTTCGTTTTTGCAAATTGAGTGTATTTTTTTTCGATGGCAAAAAAATAAATAAAAAACGTGAGTAAGAAAAAAAAATAAAAATCATCTCACAAAATATTTTGCGATGCCATGTAAAGTTTAAAAGAACAAAGAAAAAAAAAGAAAAATCTCGTGGCTGAATTTTTTTTTCTATCAGCCACTATGTTGTTCCACGTCCACGCAGCACCATTCTTTCCTCTGCGAATGAAAAAAATAAATAAATAAAACCAGGTGAAAGAGAAAAAAAAAAAAGTAATAAAGAAAAGAAAAAAATAAGAATATTCCATCACTCGGCCCTTGTCCTTTTTGTCAGCTCGATTCTATTTCCCCTTTATTTAGAACCCTTCGATCGATGTGGTACTAAATTATTTTGATGAATTCAATAAATCAAGTTGTCACTGATATAATATACATGAAAAGTCTTATTTATTTTATATTTACCTAAAAATATTTCCATGAAAAATATTGAGATTTTCTATTTTGCCGACTGTTGGTAAGGAAGAAATTCATGATACCGACAGTTGGTAATTATCGACTGTTGGTAAACGAGAGTTTATCTTTACCGGCTGTTGATAAAAAATAAGTCAATGAAACAAAAAAATTAAGTTACCGACAACGAATAAACTAAAGTGTGTCTTTATCGACTGTTGATAAAGCAAAACGTAAGTTATTCAACAGTTAATGAAATAGACATTTCAGTTACCGACAGTTGATAAACTCGAGTCATATAATGATTTTAAAAATAATTTAGCTATTAATTTTTTTAAACAATTTTTTACATTGCGATTTTATAACAAAGGAAGAAATTTCTTTTACAAAAATAGATCATTATTTTTTTCACTGTTTAAAATATAGGAAAAAAGTGAGAATTATAAAATTTAATAAATAGAAATTAAAAATAAAAAAAATATAACTGAAAATTTAGTTTTCATTTTGCAGTATCATGGAGTTTTAAAATTCTTTTTTCTAAAATCTAAAGACAAATCAATTACCGACTAATGGCAATGTAAAAAACTAAATTATCAACAGTCAGTAAAGTAGAAATCTATCCAATTTACACTTTGTAATTAGTAAAGTGAACAATGAACCTACTAACCATAAAGTAGAAAAGGTAGTGAACCGCATCAATTACCGACTGATGGTAATGTAGAAAACTAAATTATCAACCGTCGGTAAAATAAAAATCTGCCTATTTTCTGATTTTTTTGGTAAAGTAAAAATAATCAACTTACCTCTTTCTGCCGCCAGTAGAATTTCTGTTTATGATTTTTAAATATTTGTAGATCAATTTTTATTTTAAAATAAAGTTAATAAAAATTAAAAAAAATAAATTAAGAACTAAAATAATGTAATTATAAACAGTAAAATATAAATCGAATTTATTTATTTTTTTTTAATTTAAAATTATAAAAACGAATTTTTATAAAATACTATCAGAGGGAAAATTGTTTATTTTTTATAAAATATGTTTAAGAAAAATGGGTAAGTAAATGAAAAAAAGGAATTTGAATCAACAATTTTTTTTTTCTTATAGTATAGTTTATTTTTGAAATTCATCCAAGCGTCTACAGCCATTATTGTTGTTTTCTGTTTTGTTTTTGTTTTTTATTTCGTTTTTATTGAGAATCGAAGAAACTTAACAACTACCAGTTTGTTTTATTGTTACCTAATTAATTACTATTTTTATTACAATATAACACATTATTAATTATTAATTACAATTTGCGTCAAGTAACCTTTTAAGTGCGTTAAAGTCGAAAACTGTAAAAATCTTTAAATGAAAATTAAACAAAACAAAAAAAAAAGAATAGAAAATATCTCAGTACGTAAAATATATATAATCAATATAAAAAAACATGAAATCTAAATATTATTGTTCTTGATTCTAAAATATATTTATTCTTGATTCTCTTTTTTTCAACAATTAATTCTTTTATCGTTTTCATAACTTTCACTATTTATAATATTTAATTTTTCACTGAATAAATTGTCTATTTTTTCATTAAATATATTTATATTCTTTTATTTATATTTATTTATATCTATATTTATATATATACTTTTTTCTTATCTTGTGCAAAAAGGCGTCGTCTTCGACTTTATTCTCTAAAATTCTTATCTAAAGTGTGTGAAAAAACATTTTTTTTCCTATATAAAAAACGATTAAAAAAAGAGAATCGGTGCAAAAACGTTTTTTTTTTATTCTTTAAATATTCTTTTTAGTTAATTGTTTATTTTTGTGCTTATTTATCTATTTACATTTATCAGGGCAGATGCAATTTTCTCTCTTTCTCTCTTATCTTTAATTAAAAAATTTTTTTTTTATTTAAAAAAAATTTTTAAAAAAGAAGAAAGTATTTTTTTTTTAAATAAAAACAATTCTTTCTTTTTAACTTGAAAAAAAATTCTTTTATTAATAAAAAACTTTTTTTAAAAAAAGAAAAGAGAGATTAAAAAGAAGAAGAAATGCAACGATGTGGAATGTTTCTGTGCAAATATAGAGCTTGGAATATGAATACTTTAGAGCCGTATTATCAATACATTTGTTGCGCGGATAATGCACAATTTTTTGCAAAAATTCATTAAATTAATAGATGGACGAGGGGTGGGGGGCGAGGGGACACTTTACATTTTAAACGAAGAAAAGGGAAAAACAAAACCTAATTTTTCCCATTCTTCCATTTATGCTTCATATTTTTACCTTCACGGTTATGTCATTTTTTTTCTTTTCATTTTTAAAATTAAAAAAAAAACAATTTTTTTCCTTTATACAAAAAAAAGACTCTTAATTATATTGTTCTGGCAGGACGTAGGAAATATCATCCCAAGGATGGCGGTAGAGTCCCTGTTTCAGCCTTTTCTGATCCATATAGTGTCCTGAAAAAAACGATTTTTTTTATTTTTATTTATAAATGAAAAAAAATCTTTATTTCACAAAAAACTTTTTTTTCTATAATTTATTAATTAACAAATATTTTTATTCTTAATTTAAATTTATTACGAATAATAAAGGTTGTTAAAAAGGCAACGAACCATAAAGACAAATCAATTACCGACTGATGATAATATAGAAAACTAAATTATCAACAGTCGGTAAAGTAGAAAACTGTCTACTTTACGCTCTGTAATTAGGAAATAAAATAAGCAACCTACCAACTATGACGTAAAAAAGTAATAATATTAATAATAATAATAATAATAAATAATCTTAAGAAAAATTAATTTACCAATGAAACCAATGCTTCTGCCAAGAACAAATAAACTGTTGATTGCTCCAATTTCAATATATTCCTGCGCCTCTTCCGAAGTAAATGAACCACTGTGTCTTAACATATCAACAAATGCACTAGCAATCATTCCATCGACATTGAGAATTAAATTTGGCTTTTTACTCGTTGTTATTTTCTCAATTTCCAATGCATAATTCACTAATGGCGTTGCAGTGAAATTTGCCAATACATATTCCTTAATTAATTTTACTCGCATATCTGGATTATTAATTGACTTAATACGATGACCAATGCCCATAATTAATTTTCCCTTTTTTCTTGTTTCATTTACAAAATCTTGAGGATGTAGTCCTGCGTCATAGGCCTCTGAGTACATACGCGCTGCACCGTCCAATGCACCACCAAATCGATCACCCTTTATGAAAAATAAAGTAAAAAAAATCAAATTTTCTGCAATACCGACTGTCGATAAAGAAGAATTTTCCTGTGTCGATTGTCGGTAACTAATAGTTACTATGCGGGCAATGCAGTGTACAACCTTAAATTATTGTCTGCGGTTATGGTCGACATTTGAAAATATCAAATTTCTACATTATTGACAGTTGACAAAGTTGTACCAACAGTCGGTAAAGTAGAAATTTGCGTTATCGACAGAAGATTATAAATAAAATATATCATTAAGCCTAGTAAATCGTGTTTAAAAAAAATACATAAAAATAAACTTATTAAAGTAAAATTAGTACAAAAAAAGATGAAGATTTTTTTATTAAAAAATAAAATTTTGTTTACTTACAATGGTAAGTAATCCAGAAACAACGGAACTGACGAGATCTTTACCGGCACGCGCGCAAACAATTGTATTGTGTGCGCCTGAAACTGCAGGTCCATGATCAGCAGTTAGCATAAGTGACATTTCCAAAAATTTACAATAAACTGGTGGCAAACAACGTTGGAACCAAAGCAAAGAGACAACACCGCCAATGCCGACATTTTGCTTTAAAACCTCTGTGACGGGCATTCCTGCGTAAAGTAAATCTTGACCACGCTCGTCACAAATTGATGTCATGAATGATGCTGGTTTTCGAATTAAACCCAATTCCTGTTTTTTGTATGAAAAAAAAAAATGGGGAAAAAAATTATTTTAGGAATTTTTTTTTTGTATGGAATATTTATTTTTTTCAAGGTCATAATATTGGTAAATAAAATTTTTGAATTCGATAAAAAATTCGGCTGCTAATAGGGTTGAAATTGTTCTGATCATGCGCAGTTGTGTTTAAAGGACTCCAGACATGCGCAGTAGGATTAAAACTACTTTACACATGCGCAGAGAGCGTAAAAAGTATTTTAGACATGCGCAATAGGGTTAAAATTACTTTAGACACGCGCAAATACTTTTAAAGGCACTCTAGACATGCGCAGTAGTGTTAAAAGTGTTCTAGTCATGCGCAATATTGATAAAAGCATCATAAACATGCGCAATAGTCTTTAATAAACTCTAGACTTACGCATTAGCAATGAAAGGATTCTTAGTATGCGCAGTAGTGTCTACAGAACTCTCTATTAGCGCAAATAGTGTTAATAGCACCACAGACATATATTTTCTAAATAACTATTTTATCGAATTCAAAAGTCAAAATATTCCACTAAATACTAATTGAATTTTAAAATAAATAATGGAGTATTAAAATAAAAAGAAATAAGAAACTTACCCTTGCCCAACTGTAGTCCATTGGTACGGTAGGTGGTGGCATTTCAGGTTCAGGAACAATAGTTCCGGCTTCAACGAGTTCTTGATAAACCGAATGAATGACATCGCCGAGATTATCAAAACTATCAGGTACATAGGCGCCTGCCTCCTTGAGTGCGGCATTTTTAGCGACAGCCGTTTCCATATTACTATTTGCAATTGAACCAGCATGACCAAATTGTACTTCTGAATTAAACATACTTGCACATGTGCCAATACACCATGCAATCAAAGGTTTGGTAATTTTTTTCGACTTCATTGCCTCGCACACCTCATACTCCTCAATACCACCAACTTCACCAAGGAGAACAATTAATTTTGCATCGGGATTCATTTCATAGCGCATAATATGATCCATGAAATTTGTTCCCGGATAACGATCACCACCAATTGCCACTCCCTCTTGCACGCCATTTGATGCCTTTGAGATAATGTTATTTAATTCATTTGACATACCACCGGAACGTGACACATAAGCGACGCTGAAAATATTACATTCTTTGTTTACTTATTTTTTGTGTTGTAGAATTCTGCCTTATCGACTGTTGGCAAAGTTGATTTCTACTTTACCAACGGTCGGTAATGCAGATTTCCTGTTTTTAACCTTTCTGTCCGACGTTATCGACCGCTGGTCAAGTAGTTTCCTACTTTACAAACGGTCGATAATGTAGAATCCCTATTTTTAAACCTTTCTTATCATTTTTAACCCTTTTTTTATCGTTGCTTACCTGCCAGGTCTGTACAATTTACTGTGTAGAATATTGTCCATCATTCCACCGGTGTTGCCAATTTTGAAACAACCAGGCTTGACACCACCAACTGTCGCTGGTCCAATGATCGTGACATTTTTCTTATGCGCCTCAAGAATTAATTTTCTCGTCATATTCTCGGGTATACCCTCGGCAATAATGGCAATAGTACGAATTTGTGGGAATGCAAGTGCCTCCATTGTACTGTCATAGGCCGATCTTAATGACGCAAATGTCACCATAACATCGGCGTCAGGATGTTTATTTATTGCATCCTTCATATGCTTATAAACTGGAATTAGGACCTAGACAAAACACAAAGAATTTTTTATTTGCAAAATAACTAAAGAAACTACTAAAAAATGGTAAAGTAACAAAAATTTCTTTTAAATACTGACAGTTGGTAATGTAGATAGTTTACATTACCGACAGTTGGTAATGAATTATTTTAGCGACATTTCTTTACATTCTATTAACTGTTTTAATAACAACTTCCCAATTAAAATGCGATAGTCTATTAAAAGTTGACAGTCTATCATACCGTCTGTTGATAAAATTGAAAATCAAATTTGCGACTGATAACAATGTTGAAAATCAGCTTTATTGTTAGTAAAATGAAACAATCAATCTACTGACTATAAAGAAGAAAGGTAATAAATAAAAAAAGAATCAATTACCGACTGATGGTAATGTAGAAAACTAAATTACCAACTGTCGGTAAAGTAGAAATCTGATTATTTTTTATTTATGGTTAGTAAAATGAAAATAATTAACCTACCTCTTTGTGTCCCCAGTAGAATTTTTGCTTATGATCGCCAACAAATGGATAAACAATAGCGGCTACCGATGGTTCTGCGCGTCGGCAAACAAAATCAAAATCAAGCATACCTTGAACAGCACGATTTTGCATGCCCCATATAATTGAACGTGTTTTATTGGTGAAAAGTTGTTTTCCCGCGGGTAAATCATTAGAAATTGTTCTCTTTGTTTTTGGTGTTGTTGACGTTGTGGACGAGGACGATGATGATGATGATGATGATTGCGATGTTAATGGTGATTTTGCTTGTCCACTAGGTCCAACATCCTGACCCGATGGTAGAAGAAAATTTGCCGTTGAAAATTCTTGTGCCTCTGGATCGGGTATTGGTTTTGTACCAAGTGCCATTGCACAAATCGCAGTCATATGTGTTTCAGGTCCAAATACATGTACCGGTATTGCTAATCGTTTACCAACTTCGCGAATAATTCTGAAAAAAATTTTTTTTTAATTTTTTAATTTTTAAATATTTTTTCTTCGTACATGGAAAGAGAAAATTTTCTTTATTTAAATTTACCTTAAGCCCTCTTGATAATTAGGACCGGCTCGTCTCACAAATATTTTGATATTAAATTCAACGAGTTTTGGCTGAAATTCTTGTAGTGCCTTAACAATTCCCTTAAATGTTGCGGCAACATTTGTAAAATTTGCAATACCACCGCCAATAATAAGAACTTTACCGTCAGGATGTTTTTCCTTCGTCATTAAGCTAAGAATTGTTTTTGCATATTCATAAGTTTGCTGTTCACTCGGCGCACCTGAATATTCACCATAATTCGCCAATTCCGAGGCACCGCCGAGATCACAAATTGTGTCCGAATAGATAACAGAGGCTCCTAAAAAATATTTTATTTTTATTAATTAAAGAGAAAAAAATATTTCCCTAACAATTTTTATGAAGAAATTACAGAAAAAAATAGTTCCATTACCGATTGACGGTAATGCAGAGGTCCTACTAGTACCTGCAGTCGGTAATATAGAATTCCGAAATATCGACAGTCGGTAATGAAACTAATAATTAATAAATAAAAGAAAACTAACCTCCACCAGCGACCATCGTCCAAATACGACCATTTGGATTTAAAATAGTTAATTTTAAACTTGCTCCCGATTTGGAATCAAGATCGGCAATATAGGCCTCCTCAGGATAAGCGTCACGACCAAATGGCGGTGGATAACTAATTTCACCCCATTTTGGTTTACAAATAAAATCCGCTGTCGTATCTAATTTTGCGGCCAAATCCAAAATATAAATTGCATCATCAGTCACGACCAATGGATTTATTTCCAAATATGTGAAATATAAATCAACATAAAGTTTATAGAGCGACGAAACAAATTCTGCGATTACTCTGTAAAAAATGTTTCATGATTGTTACAATGGAAATTTTTTTTTTTATTTTAACTTCAATAATTAATTTACTTACGTTTTCTTGTCATCGGTAACATTTATTAAAAGGCGATCAATTAAAGTTTTTTGATCTGGCACTTCAGCTCCAACTGGAACTTCAAGTTTTAAAGCTTTTGCATCAACATCGCCAATATCAACGCCACCTTCGTGGTGAAATAGAATTGTATCGCCGTTGCGACTTGAATAAATGCATACATACGCCTCTTCCTCCTGTTAAATTAGTATATTTTTTGTATTTTTCCACAGGAATAACGAATTTAGACAGTATTGGTAAGGCGGTTATCTACATTACCGACTGAAGGTAAGGTAGCTTTCTGTATTACCTACAGTCGGTAATGTAGAAATCGGTAACTTTAAAAAAATACCGTTTTCCATAACGAAAGATGGTAAAACACCTGGTTTTCCATACCGACAGATGGTTAATAAAAATTTGAAAAAAAAGATAAAAATTACCTGCTTATGAGGTACAAATGGTTCGATAATAAATGTCTTGAGTTTTCCAGTTGCCTTGCCAACTAATTGGTCCTTATTCATTCGTTCGGCGATCCATTTTTGAACAGTTGGAAGATCGGCATTAACTTTAATCAATCCCAATTTTCCTCGTCTCTTAATTAATTGATCGGGTTTAACGACAAGTTTTTCCGTTTTAAGCCAGGGATTTTCAGCGATAACATGTGGCCAATTTGTATTTTCCGTTATAGTGACAAATTGACATTTTGCTGCCTTTGTTCCGGGAGTGAGTTTGCGATTTATTAAATCTTTACCGGTCGCTTCTTGAATTGCTTTTGCCGACATTTTTCAGCTTTCTTTAAGAGAAGACAAAAGAAGAAAATAATGTTGTGATATCAAATTATTTACAGTTGGTAAAGTAGAAATTTTTATTTCCCTTTGTAATTTTTTTGGGGCATTGCAAAAAATTTGTTTTGGTTGATAATGAAGATAATGACTTTATCGATCGATTTTAAGGTAGAAATTCAAGTGACCGACGAGAAATTAATTTTCTATTTCAATATATTTTATTAAAATTGTGGTATATTCCAGTAAGTACCTTATCGACTGTCGGTAAAGTAGAAATTTAAAGTAAATGTAAATTTCGATATTTTACTGAAAGATAACGACGTTTGAACAAAAAATAATAAAAAGTAAATTAAAATAATAAAAAAAATTGAATTTCGTATTATAAATTGATTTATTAATGAAAACCTTTTCAATTAATTCAACGAAAAACATTAATTTCTAATAAAAAATTCGAAAAATCCTACTGTTTACAAAAAAGAAAATTTTACAAATTTTTAGTGAATTTTTTCAGAACTTTTACTATAACTATATTCATTTCCTCAAAATAACATTTTTCTTTAGAAAAAAAATTTTTTTTTTCTTTTTTGCCAAGATAAAGCGAATGAAAATGTTAGCATTGCGAGCAAGTAAAATAGAGTCAAAGGTGATAAAAACTGCTGTGTATATAAGTATGCCAAGCTCATTCATAAAACATAAATAGCAATCGACAAGAATATTTTTTTTTTCCTTTTTTTTAACATTAATATATTTAGTTAAAAAATTTATTTCCTTTTTTTAAAATTATCCCTAAAAAAAAAAAAAATTGACAAAAATTTTGCAAAATAAATTTTTTTTGAATATTTTTATTTTTTGAATTTAAAAAAATGTACTAGTATTAATTTGCGTAAAATTGATATTCCGAATAAATTGCAATAATTTTTCAAGTGTTGTCAAAAGTTGAAAAAAAAATTTGGATGAAGAGAAAAGAGGAAGAAAATGCGAAAAATGGAAAAATTGATAAATAATTTATAAATGACAATTGGATGAAATTAATTCATTAAACTCTTGAACTGAAACTAATCGTCATTTTATCGTAAGAACGTCATTGTTAAAAATTAGAATTTCATTTTTACACACGTTTTCGTCATATTTTACTTCTTTTCTTTATTCTTTCTTTTCATTTATTATTTTTCCTTCTCTATTTCTTTTCAATGAAATGACGATTTTTACAAGAGAATTCCCACGGTTATTATAAACGATAATTTGACGTTTCAAGATGATAATTTTAATTTTTTTGTATTTTAATGTATAACTGATTAATTAACTAGAAATAAATTTTTGTGTTTTGTCATTCATAAATTTAATTGGCATTTTTTTCTATTAAATTCTAAACTTTTTTTTTTTATTTGTTTCTATGATTTATTATTTTATTTAAAATTTAAAAAATGTGGAATTTTTAACTTTGTTTTTTATATATTCTTTTTTCTATTAAATTATAAAATTAATATATTTGGGACGTTGAATTTTTTAATAACATTTTTTCTTGTTTTTTATAGTGAAAAATTATTAAAAAATTTTAAATACAATACTGCATTATAATTTCTTTTTACAGGTGATTTAATAAAAATTTTCAAATTTTACATTTTTTAAAAATTAAAAAATCTTTTAGATTTTTTTAAAAAATTATTATAAAATTTATTATTTACTAAAATTTAAAAAATATTTTCAAAAAATTTATAATTTTCCAGAATATTTTTAATAAATTTAATATAAAATTTTCTAAAATTTTAAACAAATGAAAACTAAATATTTTTTCATTATTTTCTATATTTATAAAATTTATATTCTGAAATAATACTTTTCGAGTTTTTAATAAAAAATATTGGCCTCAATATTTTGTTTGACAAGGTTCAAGTTTAAATTCCACGAAAGGAAAAAAAAGGAAACCCAAAAGTTAAAAGCCTAAAAGTTGACTGACCGCATTCCATTGAGGGAAAAGTATTTATTTTTCTAAACCGAATATATATCTATATATACTCGAATAATATATTTCTTGTACTTTTTATTCCAATAACTGTTTTTTAAACGATAATTCATTAAAAAAAAATAAAAATAAATAAAAATTTTTTTTCTTACTTAAAAAAATTATTTTTTATTTTTCCCCTAGAAATGCATAACGAACAGAAGAAAAAAATGCTTTGTTAACAGAATATAATTATATGTTAACTGACGCAGGACAATTTTTTTTTCTTCATCTTATTTTCATGATAAAAGAATTTTTAAAGCATTATTTTTAAATTTTTTTAAATTTAAAAATAGAAAAAATTCTAAATTTAAATTTTTAAATATTTGACTCTTTCGAAAATTGAATTTAAAAAAATAGTGCTAGTGAAAGAAAAATGATAATAATAATAAAATAATAATAAGAATGATAATAAAAAATAATAATAATAATAATAATAATAATAAAAAGGAACAATTACAATATTATCTACTTTTAGAGCTTTCAGGTTTTAGAGTAAATAATTGTTACCACAATTATTGTTATTTGAGATAACGATTAATTTTTTAATTAATGTTTTAACAAAAGAAAAAATAAATTCATGTATAAGAGTAAATTTTCACAAAGAAATAAAATAAAAAAAAAATATTTTTCTTGAGCAAATTAAAATTAAATAAAATTTTGTTTACCGCTGTCAAATACGTCACGTGACCAAACACGTGTCAAACAGGTGGAATATTAATTTTTAGATATAATATAAAAGTAGAAAATTTAAAAAAATTTATTCTTCTTTTTATTATTTTTATTATCGTTATTATTTTTACTATTATTGTTATCATCATTATTATCATTTATGGTTTAAAACTATATTTTATTATTTTTATAATTATTATTATTATTATTATTATTATTATTATTATTATTATTATTATTATTATTATTATTATTAGGTGTTGTTATTATTATTATTATTATTATTATTATTATTATTATTATTATTATTATTATTATTATTATTATTTATTTAAATTATGTCTTATATTACACACTTTTTTGTAATTTTTTGAAATAAATTTTTAAAAAAATTTTTAAAATCCTATTAAAGATTTCTATTAAGGTCACAATTATGAGTGAAAAATTTGCGGGAAAAACAAAAGTGAAAGCTTTAAGAAGTATATACATATGTTATTTGTCCGTGTAAATGAAAAAATGTGTCTATTTGTCGACCTTTCACTTTTCACGATTTTGTAATTAACATCCATTATTATATATATACAATACTCCTAATTGTTGTCACTTTAAAATCCTATTAAATTTTAACGTTCAAAAATTATTTTCGAATTTTCCCACTGTGTACAAGGATTGAGAAAATATTTTTTTTTTTTAAAGAAAAGAATCAAATTCTTCCCATAAATTACAGGAAAAAGAATTTCTAAAATAAATAAATAATAATAAAAAGTCATTATTACTAAATTATAAATAAATAATATACTATAAATAAATAATAAATAATTTAAAATTATTATTAAAACTACAAATTAAATAAATAATAGTATTATTAAACTAGTAAATAATAAATAAATCAATAAATATTTGGAAGAAAATAATTTAAAGAAAATTAATTTGAATTTACTTAAATAATATTATTTACTTCAGGAATTAAAGTACAAGAAAGTAAGTAAATAAAAATAGGTACATAACCTTGACAATAAGAAATAATTAATAATGTTTTTATTATTAGTAATAATTACTTTTTAGATGATAATAATAATAATAATAATAATAATAATAATAATAATAATAATAATAATAATAATAATAATAATAATAATAAATATTTTATTTACTCTCTCTGATAATTATATGCAGGACTCGAGGATCCATAAATAATAATAATAATAATAATAATAATAACAATATTAATAAATATTTAATTTTTTCTTAATAAATTGAAAAATAAATATTAATAATTATTAATTTGTTATGAAAATTTATTAAAAATTTTATTATTATTACATTATATTATTATAAAGTTATTAAAATTATTAATAATGTAAAGAATAATAACAGAAACTGTAATAAAAATAGAAATTATATAATTATAATAATTTTACTTTAAAAATAAAAATTATTTTGTAATTTTAATTTATTCCGCAAGTGATAAGTTTTCCATGTTTAAAAAATTCACTAACTTTGTAAAGTTCACTATTTTTTTTCTTCCTCTTGTAATAACAAAAAAAAAGACGATTTTCACTTTTTTCTTGGGGGGAGCGGGCACTAATTATAAAGAAAATAAAAAATTACACTTACTTATTATTATAATTTTTTTTTTGTTTTTAAATTTTCTAAATAACGGACGGATTATAAAAACGACAGGTTTTTGAAATCGAACGTCTAACCCGTCGAGTCGTTCGTAACAGACTGAATGTTTCGTTCACAATTCAAGGCATGATATATAGATATATATGTATCTGTTTATATATATGTAAACCTTTATAAGTATTTGTAAATATAAGTATATATAGGTACACAAGAAAAATTTTCATTCACACGAAATATATCGTACGATTCGAAAATAAAATTTCAATATAGAAAGTTTTAAAACGATTTATTAATACCTGCTAATAAACAAAATTTATTTTTCTGTTTTTTTAATACAATAATGTTATTTTTGTTTTGTAAAAAATTTAATTTAACATTTTTAAAAAATGTTTTTATTAATATTTTTATTAATATTTTGGTATTAATATTAATATTTTAAAAGTTAATAAATTTGTCATTGAATTTATTTTATTATTGAATTAAAGAAAAATAAAGTAACATATAAAATTTTATTTTTACAAATTGCAGCCAAAAAATACAAATTTACAAAAGTTAAAATTTATAAATACAAAAAACAATAAAACAAAAAAAATAAATCTTTTTTTATTTATTATTACAAAAAAGTAAATATTTTCAAATTTTTGAAAATTTTTTTCGAAATCAATTCACAAAATAAAATTCTATTTTTTTAAAAAAAATTATTTT